GCATCCCGTTCGTTCATATTTGGCGCGTTGTGCGTCTCTGAGTGGGATCGGCTCGAAGCTGCCCTGCTTGCGGGTATAGAGTCACAGCTGGGTAGAGTAGCAAACAGTGTCAATGGTATAGGCGTCTGTCATGGCTCTTTGGGCCTACAAAATGTAAAGGGTGGGTCTGGGGGTAAGTCCAAGGTCACAGAAGGCACGCTTCAGAGTCCCTCCCCTTTTGTCTTACAGTCACCCAAAGGAGATTCAGATTTCTGAGGCGAAAGACGGCATCGGTTTTCTCGGAACTTACGGCGACCGGGGCGAGATCGGCCGAAGCGTCGTCATCGACGGAATCTTCCGAGAGCCGCGGGGAGTCCCTGCCTAATGAGTTATGGACTACATGTGTATAGCATTGTATATGTTTATTTCGATTTGTAGGTTGCTTCTTAGGCATGGTTATTGTGTTTTCCAAGGAGAACAGGAAAAGTCCGGCCGCCGTTTCTTTGTATTGCCGCTGTCATTTGTATCGCCTCATACTGCTCCCTATTGTGTACTTGTGTAGTTGTAGTCGTATCGGTCCGTATCCGAAGGTCACGGTGTCGCGTTCCATGTGTCAGTTATGAATTGTATCTCTTTGCGCCTTCATTTGTAGTACTTTTTATGTCGTGTCACTTGTATTGCCATGTAATGTTCTGTCTGGTATACTTCTATATTTGCAGTTGCATTGCTCTGTATGTGAAGGTTGTAGTGTTGTGTTGCTCTGTGTCAGTTAGGAGCTGTACAGCTTTGTACCTTACTTTGTTTTGCTTTTTATGTTCTGTCATTGGTATTTTCTCATAATGCTGAGAGGGGTGTGCTCAGCCATGAGGGGTGTGCTTGTTTTGTCAGACTCGGCGATTTGTTTCTTTTTGGGGTTTTTTTTGCAGGCTCCAGGGGAATCACGTTCCCAAGGAGGGCCGTGGATGTACAGTGATGGTCTCTCATGGGCCAGTAGGTAGCGGAGCGGTTGAGGTGTGAATGAGGATGAAAAAGGTTTGTGAGTGTTTCGCAGTGGTTTTAACCTTGTGTTAGTGTTTTCCTCTTTCAGGTTGTTGTTACATAATTTAAGATTTAGAATAAAAAAAACCCAACTAGGGGATTTTTTCTTTCTTTTTCCCCCTCTGGGTTTTTTTTTTCCCAGGTCTGCAAGGCGACGTTCGTCGCCAAGGTTTGGGCACGGGCTGTCCCTGGCCCCGGGTTTTGCAAGGCAGGACGATTTTTCGATTTGTGAGGCTTCCCCAGACCCGTGTTCCTGAGGGAGCGCTGCACATTTGTCCCAATAGTTGCTGGTGGGTAATGGAGTGGTTGAAGAGTGAGTGAGAATGGGTTTATGTGTAAGCTCCAGGGGGTTTGTGAGTGAATGAGTGTAACACTAAGTGTGTGGGGGTTTTTTCTTTTGATTTGCATCCGGTGTCAAATCGAAAAGTAATTCAATCACGTTTGTAGAAAGCAGGTTTCATTTTCTCTTGTCTTGCTTTTTTTTGTGGTTTGTTGGTATTGCCGTGCATTGTTTTGTAATTGTGTTGACCAGTGGAATACAAGGTATTGCATCTGTGGGTTGTACTGTATTGTAACTTGTGTTGTAACCTGTGTGCTAACCTGTATAGTAACTTGTGCCTTGTAACCGGCCTTGTACCGTGCCTGGTAACTTGTGCAATTTCACAAGGTCACAAGCAGTCATTCCATAAAAGTGGCGGTCTGGAAAAGAAAAACTCAACACGATTCCAGTATGGGGAAACTGGAATGCTTTATTGAACATGAGAACACAATTTTAAAGGCATCTGGGGCTGGACATGTTAATGAAGGGAACAAGCTCTGTTAATTGGGGAGTTACACAAGTTTTTACTGCAATTTCCAAACAGTTAATTTTTCTTCTAGTAGGATTACATGGGGGATAGAGGGATTACAGGGGTTTAGACATGGTTTTAACAAACATCTCAAAAAGTCCTTTCTTAATTCTTCTTGGAGCCAGGTTTATATCTTCGGGTTGCACATCAACAGGTCTCTGGACAAGGGTCCAAATTTCTTCAATCACGAGATGTTTGTCAGCCTTGTTTTCCAAGGTTTGTGATTCAAATTTACCAAGCTTCCCTTTGCTGAAAGCTGGGTTTGGGCTCCCACAAATAAAGTTGCAATAAAGTTGTGGGGGTTTTTCCCCCTCTTTGGCTCCTGTCTTTATTTTGTGTTATGGAGTCTTTTCTCTATTTCTTTCTTCTCTTCTTTCCCTTTCTCCTCTTCATCTCTCTTCTTTCTTTACTCTGTTCCCTCTTAGTTATTTCTCTTAGTTATTTCTCTTAGTTATTTCTCTCTCTTGCCTTTTCTCTTGCCTTTTCTCTTAGTTTCTTGTCTTGCTTTTCTTTTGCTCACTTTGCTTAGTTTAAAAAAGCAGGACGGGGACTGGCTTGCTCCCGGGGAGTAAATCTTTACTGCGCAGGGCGACCTCGTCTGCCTTGTGCTTCATACCCTGTGCCCGTCCTCCTTCTCACCCTTTTCCCCTTTGTCACCCTCACCCTAAACCTCGCCCTCGTCCCCGTTCCTCATCCCCACTTGGCTCCCGGCAGCCCGCCGGGGGCTTCTTGCCCTTCCTGCGGCTGGGAACTCCAAGCAGGGCCATGCCGTGGCTTCTCAGCAAGAAGCGACGGCAGTCGCCCTCCAGCAGCCCCAGTGGGCAGCCCTGGGCTGCCACCAGCTCCAGCAGCGCCTCCCAGCTCCGGGAGCAGGGGCTGGGCAGGCTGCACCGCGCGGCCGCCCGCGGTGACCTGGGCTGGCTGAGGCGCTGGCGCTGGTACGTGAAGGTAGTCGGCATCGACAGGCCAGACCAGGAGATGCGGTGAGTTCTGGGCCACGCTGATGGCACACCTTGGCTGCTCCTGAGCCAAGCTGCAGTAGTCCTCGGCAGCCCTCTCTTAGGGACAAGGCTTGAAAAGTGACATTTGCCCTGTCAGCTGGGAGAGGGAACTCTTGAGCTTTTCACTGCTCGGAGCTGCCGGCCGGGCTCCAGCGCTGTTGCAAACGCGTGTTGCCCACCTGCCCCTTGGCCGTGGTCTCTCTGCAGGGCTGTTCTGCAGCTGCTCAGCCCTCACCTGTTCCCTTCTGCCCTCTGGCTCATCAGCGCAGGCCTGTAACAACAGCAGCAGCAGGAGGAGCAGAGTCGGAGCAGGGTCCCCAGGGTGCTGGGTAGAGACACAGCTTGGGCTCGTCCTTTGTCTGTCAAGGTTAAGAGTGTCTGTTTAATTTTTAGGACACCTCTGCATCTGGCTTCAGCCAATGGCCATGCAGATGTCGTGAGATATCTGCTAAGAAAGGACAGCCAGCCCAACCTCGCTGACAGCTTCAAGAGAACGGCCCTGATGAAGGTGTGTGGAATGCCTTCTGAGCTTGGAGGTGGGGCTTAGTGCTGGTGTGTTAAAGGGGAGGTGTCTGGCAGGATTCCTTGCAGGGCAGGGCCATAGAAACACGCCTATTGCAATGGGCATGGCACAGCCTCTGTTAGCTGATCTTTGAAGATGGTCTTCTACACCAGTACTCAGGAGCTGAGGGAGTTGTGAGAGAGGGGGATGGAAAAGATGGAAGTCTTTCCCTTTTGGTGTGTTGTTGCCAGGAAATCCAGCAGGAGCAGGAAGAATGTGTTGCTGTTCTGCGTAAGCTTCTCTTGTGGCCTTGGTTTTGGGTCTTTTTCTTTTGCTCCTGTCTTCTGTGTGATAGCTTCTCTCTTTGCTGAAGGCAGTGGCAGTAGGTAATCTGGTTGGGCAGAAGTGCTGTCATGGGTTCTACCTTGGTTGCTGTTGGGAGTGAGGAGGCACAGCGGCCTCTCTGAGTAAGGCTGGGCCCTTGGAACTGATGGAGTTGCCAAGACGCTCTCCTTGATATTGGAAAAGTCGTGGTAGTCAGGGGAAGTCCCAGGTGAGGGGAAAAAGGAAAACCCACTGTCCCCATCTTTGAAAGGGGTAGAAAGGAGGACCCTGGGAATTACCAACATGTCAGCCTCCCCTCTGTGCCTGGGAAGGCCATGGAAAAGATCCTTCTAGAAGTGGGAGCTGTTGAAGTGTGAATGGGTTCTACTGACCACCCCTTGGCTCTCCAACTTCCGGATCATCTTATGGATAGTGAACACAGCGTCTCGATTCGTCCGATACTGTCGTCTGTGTACAGTTGTCGTGGCTATTGGCACAATGGAGGGCAGCAATGCTGGTCAGATGTAGAAGATGGATTTCGAAGGCAAATGCATGAAGAAAAAGGAGTCTCTTATTACCACTCCAAAAAAGCCTGGACTTACCTTTCCAGTTTCTTGGCAAGGCATCTTTTGGTTGTCACTTCCTCCAGATACAGCTCCTTGTACATTTCCATTTGTCCCTGTGTTGCTTCTTTCCTAGAAGCACTCTCTTGTTCGGTTTTTTTGACCCTGTCCAATTCACTTTCCAGATATCTAATTCTTTCTTCCAACTGGATTCTCATGGAATCACAATGACTGCCTGCAATTTGTCCTAATGTGTCCTGGTGGGCTGCCTGTGCCTGAAGGAGACAGTGCACCTTCAACCACCACGAGAAAAAGAGAGCTCTGCCCAGCACAAAATGGCACACACCCAGTTCCTTCTAGAAGCTCTGTCAAGGCACGTGGATGACAGGGAGGTGATTGGAAGCAGCAGCACAGCTTCCCCAAGGGCAAGTCCTGCTTGACCGACCTGGTGGCCTTCTAAGAAGGAGGGACTGCCTCAGTGGACAAGGGCTACCCATGTCATTTCTCTGTCATTCTGGAAAGCCTTTGACACAGTCCCCCACAACATCCTTCTCTCCAAAGTGGAGAGAGATGGATTGGATGCGTGGACTGTTAGATGGATAAGAAATTGGGTGAACAGTCCCATGCAGAGGTGGTGATCAATGGCTCAGAGTGCTGAGGGCCATCAGTGCCGAGTGGTGTCCCTCAGGGGTCTGGATTGGGCCCAGTGTTCTTTAATCTCTTCACTAATTATCCAGAGGAAGGGATGGAGTGCGCCCTCAGCAAATTTGAGGCTGACACCAAGCTGAGGGGTGTGGTTGACACAGCTGATGCCACCCAGAGGGCCCTGGACCAGCTGGAGAAGTGGGCCCATGGCAATCTGCTGATGGTTTAACCAGAGCCAGTGCAAGATGGTGCCCGTGGCTCAGGGCAGCCCCTGTATCAGTGCAGGCTGGGGGATGAAGAGGGGCAGAGCAGCCCTGCCGAGAAGCCCTTGGGCTGGAGGAGAGGCCGGACATGAGCCGGCGATGTGCGCTCTCAGCCCGGAAAGCCAATTGTGTCCTGGGCTGCGTCCAAGGCAGCGTGGCCAGCGGGTGGAGGGAGGGCATTCTGCCTCTCTGCTCTGCCCTTGGGAGAGCCCAGCTGGAGGGCTGCATCCAGCTCTGGGCTCCTCAGCACAGCAAGGACCTCCAGCTGTTGGACTGAGCTCAGAGGAGGCCACCAAGGTGCTCAGAAAGATGGAGTACCTCTGCTAGGAGGAAAGGCTGGGACAATTGCAACCCTTCAGCCTGGAAAAGAGAAGGCTTTGGGGTGACCTACTGGTGGTCTTTGGGGTGTGAAGGGAGCCCAAAAGAAGGATGAAGAGAGTGAATTTAAAAGAGCCTGTAAGGGAGAGGACAAGGGGGAATGGCTTTAAACGGAAACAGAGCAGGTTTAGATTTGATCCTCAGAAGAAATTGGTTGCTGGGAGGGTGGTGAGGAACTGCAACAGGTTGCCCAGAGAAGCTGTGGATGCCCCATGGCTGGAAGTGTTCAAGGCCAGGATTGATGGGGTTGTGAACAAGCTGGTCTGGTGGAAGGTGTCCCTGCCCACAGCAGGAGGCTTGGAACTGGATGATCTTTAAGGTCCCTGCCAAGCCAAGCCATTCTAGGCTTGGATGCTGTCTGTGCTGTTTCTGTGAGACTGTGGGGGAAAGGCTGGTTCTTCCTGTGTTTCATGGTTTTCTTAACTAATTTGCTGTGCAGGTTGGAAAAGCTTCTGAGGATAGAGAGGAGGAAACTCCGGGTTAATGAAGAGAAAGAAAGCCAGTCCCAGCTGGAAGAAATGAAGAGCAGATATTCTGAAAAGGTCAAGGAAGTTGATAGATTACAAGCAGAGGTGAGCTGTGCTCTGGGTGGGGCTTTTTGGTTGTGGTGTTCCTTCTTTTGGAACCTGGGAGATGCTTTCTCTCTATTTCTTGTCACGTTGATGATTTTTTTATTTCCCTGGCTGTATTTTGGATGTGATGGGCTTTTCTTAATGCTCCTCCTGCTGTTCCAGTGGGAGATGACTCGAACTAATCCGGAGTAGTTCTCATTGTGGGGAAAGATGGAAATGTTAAGGGCAAAGCAGTAGTGTAAGGGCTGATGGAGGCCAGGCTGTCCTGCAGAGGAGGGGCAAGCCGGAGTGGCAGCCAGCCTGGCAGGGTGCGTGAGCTCCCGGGCCAGGGAGCCGTCCCCCAGGCCCTGAGCAGGAAGAGCAGAACAGGTCCCCTGACAGTGAGCGGGGTCAGCCAAGAGTGCAGATCCCCCGGCTGGGTCTGAGGGATGGGCAGGTCTGCCGTCCTGGCAGGACATCACGTGCATGGGCTGAGAGCAGTGGGGCCCAGCTCAGGCCTGGCTGCAGCTGGAGGGAGGCTGTGACAGCGTCCTCTGGGTGTGACAGATGAATTGCTGCCCTGGCAGAGAGGGGAGGAACAGCGCTGTCACTGGCAGGGCACCATCAGCCCCTGAGCCCTGTCTCAGGCACCCCCTTTTGGGGTTTTCCCAGAATTCACTGCCTTTACATCGCTGTGAGTTCGTTTTTTTTCCTTTCTGTCTGCATGTTGTTGAACTTTCCCAGCAACTGGAGAGGGAATGTAAACAGTGCACGTAGCTGGAAGCCAAAAACCAGGCTTTGCAAGAAGAGCTGTCTACCCTGCGTGGGAAGTGCGAGAACCTGGAGATGGACAAATGCCAGCTGCAAGAAAAGTTGGCAAAACTGCAGCATCACTTGGAGACCAACGTGGTGGATCGCAGCCAACTAGAACAACATAAAAGAGAGTTGGAAGAACGAGTCGACCAGGAAATAAGGCAAAAACTCCAAGAAGTCAATGAGTTTTTGCAAGTAAGTGAATTTCTCCCCAGTGTCCACAGGCACTACGTAAACTTCTCTCGTGGCCATGGTGTTTGGTCTTTTTCTTTTGCTCCTGTGTTTTGTGGGTTAGATTCTGTCTTTGCTGAAGGCAGTGGCAGAAGGCAATCTGGTTGGGCAGGAGTGCTGTCATGGGTGTGGAATGTGCCGGCAGGTCCCTGAATCCAAAGGCTGCCCAAGGCAGATTCCCACTTTGCAGTGCTTGGTGGGATCTCTGTGCGCTGCTCTGCTTCTCGCTGCTCATCCTTGGATGGGTTTGGCAACTTCCAGCTGGCATGGCCAGACCTACAGTGCTGCTTTGTCCTTGCAGGGGGGGAAGGTGCTCAGAAAAGGAGTCCCTTAAATGACAGGGGTGGGGGTGAGGGGGTGGAGGTGGGGGATGCTCTTCTTGTCTTTGAAGAACTATTTTCCATGTGCCCTGTCTTACAGACACAGGGTCTCTTCATTAGTAGCTTTGAAGAAGAGTGCTAATTTGGGCTTCTTTGCCAATGCAAAGAATTCTTTGCCCCGGTAGCTCCTGGGTTCTGCCTTGGTTGCTGCTGGGAGTGAGGAGGCAGAGCCGCCTCTCTGAGTAAGGCTGGGCCCTTGGAACTGGGTGCGTGCCATTTTGTGCTGGGCAGAGCTCTCTTTTTCTTGTGGTGGTTGAAGGTGCACTGTCTCCTTCAGGCACAGGCAGCCCACCAGGACACCTTAGAAGAAATCAGAAGCAGTCATTTGGACTCACTGAAAAAGCAGATGGAAGACAGAATTAGAGATCTGGAACGTGCACTGGGAAGGAGAAAAAGCAACCAAGCAGAAAGACCTTTTCCAGAAGAATCCACCCAGGCAGAAGTGGACAAGTACAAAGAGCTGTATCTGGTGGAAGCCAAAACCAGAAAAAGCCTCGCCAAGAAACTGGAAAGGTAAGTCCCTGCTTTTTTGGACTGGGAATAACAAACTCCTTTATCCTTATGCAATTTCCTTCTAAAATCCCTTTTCTACATCTGGCCAGTGTCATGTGGGAAAGCAGAACGTGGCATCTTTGTGGGGAAAGTTCCTTGAGACCCTTCCCTTCATCAGACCTGTCTTCCTTTCTCTTTAGAGTTCCAGTAGTAACCCCACAGCAGCACCACTATGGCATTACTGGTGTCTTCTCAAGTTGAGGTTGTTTTAGCAGGCAGTCTTTTTGCCAGTCTCAACTCTCCTCATCCCGTGGGTGACAGAAAAGATGAATCTTGTGCCCTTTCCTGTTTGAACAAGGAGAGGCCTCTCGCAGAAGAGAGTTGGATTCTGTGAATCCAAACTAAGAAGGCTCTTTCTTGGCTTCTGTTTTGGCAGCGGGTCTGAGGGTTGAGCTTTCCTTGAGAAGGCCAGGCTAGCCCAGAGTTCTTATGGAGGTGCCACTCGCTGCTCCTTGCACTTGGTGTGATTTCTTAGGAACAGGCCCTGTGAACAAGCTCAGATCAAAGGATGTGCTGGTTTTGGATGCTCTTCATGCCCTTGGCTTTTAGAAGTCGAGTAGTAGCCACGGCCGTGGAGGGTAACTTTGTAAAAGCCTTCCTGCCAAAGATGACTCTGTGTGTGCTTGTGAATGTTTCAGAGCTAAGGAGAGACTTGCAGAGGCCAACACCAAGCTCCTTTGGGAGCGCCACAGAAGCAGATCTGCAGTCCCAAGCAGCACCGTCAGCGGACACCTGGCTGCAAGTCCACTTCTGGATTCAACTGGCCTGGGACATCTTGGAAGCAATGAGCTGTGGAACTCCATTCTTTGACAAGAGAAAATGTGGGAAAGAGCTCTGTGGCGCAGGAACCGCCCACCTAAGTTCTACACTCTTAACTCTATCAGTGCTACATCTTAACTGTGTCTTTTCTGTATAATTCTGGGCACGACAGGAATGGGATGCAAAAATGGCTAGAGACCTTCAACGAGGTAATGTGTCATTATGTCAGGAGGGTTTTTAAGCAAAAAGGTGATTATTTCTAATTCTTGACAGCTCTCCAGCCATTTTTTCCAAGTTCCTGTGAGAAGTAGGTTCTGGGGGTTTTTCTGCCAGCCTTCCAGTTGAGACTGGAATGTGAAAACTTGCTGCTTCCCAAAATGTTGCATCCAATGTTATGCAGTTGCATGGGAAAAGCCAATCGCAAAGAAACACTTGGCTGAAGCTGAAGTTGCCCTTCACTAGAGTTGATCTCAAGCACAAACAGCAAAGCAGCCACGTGATCAGATTTTTAGAAGCTTCAGCCATCATATCCCCTCCCGTGTACACCCATGGCATTCAGCACTAAACCACACCA